AGCAAAATAAGCCTTCATTTGGGATCATTAAAAATTGAAAAAAAAATTTTTTTTTGGATTCAGGCCCTTGCAACTACACAAAGAGATATAAAAAAAATGTAATTAGGTGTCCAGGCAGTCTAGAACATCATAGTAAATAGACACAAACTCGTAAAAACGTTACGAAATTAGGATTTTGGTTTTAAAAGAAGGACAAAACTAAAAACGGCCATCTCTACGTAAATAATGGAGATAGAGCAAAATAAGCCCTAATTAGGGATCATCAAAATTAAAAAATTTTTTTTTTTTTTTTCGATCCAGGCCTTTGCAACTACACAAAATATTATTAAATTGTAAAAATAATGAGTGAAAGCAGTTTAGAACATCATACCAGATAAACACAAACCCGTGATAACGCTCAAAGTCTGAGATTTTGGTTTTTATAGATGGCCAAAATTTAAGACTTCCGTATCTCCCTAAATTATAGAGATAAAGCGAAATAAGCCTTGATTTGAAAACAGNATCATAGCAGATAGACACAAATCCGTAGTAACGCTTAAAATCTGAGATTTTAGTTTTTACAAATGGTCAAAATTTAGAACGGCCGTATCTCCGTAAAAAATAGAGATAGAGCAAAATAAGCCTTGATTTGGGATCACTAAAATTAATATTTTTTTTTTTTCTGGATACAGGCTCTTGCGACTCCACAAACAGATATTAAATTAAATGATTTAAGTGTCCAGGCAGTTAAGAACAATATAGCAGATATACACTAACTCGTGAAAACGCTCAAAATCTGAGATTTTGGTTTTTTAAGATAGGTGAAACTTAAAACAGCCGTATCTCCGTAAATAATAGAGAAGGAGCGAAATAAGCCTTCATTGGCGATCATCAAAATTAATAAATTTTTTTTTTTTTTTTTTTTTTTCATCAGGCCCTTGCAACTACACAAAAAATGATAAAATTATAGAAAATAATAGTTCAGGCTGTCTAAAACATCAAAGCAGATAGACACAAACCCGTGATAACGCTAAAAATCTGAGGTTCTGGTTTTTATAGGTGGCCAAAACTCAAAACGGCCGTATCTTCGTAAATAATGGAGATAGAGCGAATAAGCCTTGATTTGGGATCATCAAAATTAAAAATTTTTTTTTTTTTTGTTTTAATAAGGTTGGTGAAACTACTTGAAAATGATAAAATTGTAAAAAATAAATGTCCAGGCAGCCTAAAACATCATAGCAGATATACACTAACCCGTGATAACGCTCTAAATCTGAGAATTTGGTTCTTAAAGATCGCCAAAACTTAAAACGGCCGTATCTCCGTAAATAATGGAGATAGAGCGAAATAAGGCTTAATTTGGGATCATCGAAATTGAAAAATTTTTTTTTTTTTTTATTTAACAAGGTTGGTTTAACTACTCAAAAATAATAAAATTATAGATAATTAAAGTCCAGGAAGCCTAGAACATCATAGCAGATATACACTGACCCGTGATAAAGCTTAAAATCTGTGACTTCGGTTTTTAAAAATGGCCAAAACTTAAAACGGCCGTATCTC